AAGGTTTTCCCTGAATTCCTTTGCAAACTTCGAGCGCTGGTCGATCTTGATATCAGTTTCAATAACATCGAAGCCATCCCCTCCATCGGAAACTTGACTACCCTTGAGCGTCTCTGGATGACAAACAACAGCATCAGCGGGCCACTTGATGAGTCCTTCCAACAGCTGGTCAATCTTAGGGAGATTGATGGGCGCTTCAATGCAATCACCAGCATTGACAATCTTTGCGGTCTCCCAAGGCTCGAGCAGGTGTTCTTTGGTCACAATCTAATCTCGCGTTTCCGAGGCTCGGCGCCAAAACTGCGCAGCTTGCACTTAGACCATAATCCCTTGACACAGTTTGACATCGATTCCCATATGCCAACATTGTCATCCTTGAACCTTGCATCCGCCAATCTCTCCGCGTTCAAGGATGCCATCTTCGATCACATGCCGAATGTTTCTAAGCTCATTGTTGACAAGAATCATATGTCATCGATCCCCCAACAGATTGGAAAACTACGTCGCCTGGAACACTTCAGCATTATCAAGAATCCACTCGGATTCATACCTCCTCAGATTGGCTGTCTGGTGGAGCTGAAGGAGTTCAATCTTCGCGAGTGCAATTTGAAATCCCTGCCAGACGAAATCTGGCACTGTGTTAAATTGGAAACCCTGAACGTGTCTACGAACCTTCTCACAACTTTCCCCAAGCACGGTGCACCGGTGCCTTTGGTACCTGGTGAACCAACCACTACGCCTGTCTCAACACCAGCGCTCACTGGGAACCCCACGTACGAAGATCTCGGCCCTCTAAATGAGCCAGACAGCCGTCGACCCAGTCAAAATTCCAATGGAGCTTTGGCGTCTGGTTCATCCCCCAATAATGCATACAGAAATGCCTCCGTCGCGCCATCTGTTGGACAGTCACATGCTGGGCGGAAGGTGTCTACTGCATCACGCTCCAATGCTACAGAAGGAAGCTCGTCATCTCGGAAGGATTCGAACCTCTCGCAACATTCTGCCACTCAAACATTTGCCGGTTCTCTTCGAAATCTCTACCTTGCCGATAATAGGTTGGATGACGAGGTTTTCCGCGAGCTCGCCCGTCTTCCGGAACTGCGGATTGTCAACCTTTCGTACAACGAATTGACAGAATTACCCCAAGGAGTTCTGAAAAGATGGCCCTGGATCTCGGAGCTCTATCTATCTGGAAACGAGCTGACATCACTGCCGTCCGATGACTTGGAAGAAGGCAGCAATCTGAAGATTCTGCATATCAACGCAAATCGCTTCCAGGTGCTTCCTGCAGAGCTGTGCAAAGTCAGCAAGCTATCCATTCTCGATGTGGGTAGTAATATGCTGAAATACAACGTCTCGAATTGGCCATATGATTGGAACTGGAACTGGAACAGAAGCTTGAAGTACCTGAATTTCTCGGGCAATAAACGTTTGGAAATCAAGCCAAATATTGCTTCATTGGGTCCGCCAGTCACAAATGGTGCTGATCTGACTGATTTCACGTCTCTGACCCATCTTCGTGTTCTTGGCTTGATGGATGTGACCTTGACCATTCCTACCATCCCTGAAGAGAATGAAGATCGCCGTGTGAGAACCTCTGCCTCTTTAGCTGGCTCACTTGCATATGGAATGGCAGACACACTCGGCAAAACAGAGCACCTTTCCATCATTGACATGATTGTACCACGTCTGAAGCCAGACAAGATTGAAACTCTGGTTGGAATGTTCGACGGTTCGACGATGTCAAGTGGCGGTTCTCGCGTTGCGAAGTACCTGCATGAGCATTTCACTCCTACTTTCTCCCATGAGCTTAAACGACTCCAGCCAGATCAGGATGAGACACCGCTCGATGCACTTCGCCGAGCATTCTTGGCATTGAACAAGGATATGGCAGGCTCTGCGTACAGGTCCATTGACGATCGTGAGCTGCGGCAATACAATCGCAGATCGTCCAATACAAAGCAACTCAATCAGGATGACATTCAAGCTGGTGGTGTTGCAACCGTTTTGTATCTGAACAACATGGATTTGTACGCTGCCAATGTTGGTGACGCACAGGCAATTCTTGTGAGGTCGGACGGCTCGCTCCGAAACTTGACACAAGTCCATGACCCTGCTGAGGCGAGTGAGCGAGCTCGCATTCGGGCGGCTGGCGGCTTTGTGGCTCGCAATGGAAAGCTCAATGACGTTCTCCCTGTGTCAAGATGCTTCGGTCATTTCCCAATGATGCCAGCCGTCATTGCAGCACCGGCAACCCTGCACACAAAACTGACCGAGCAAGATGAAATGATCATCATCGCTTCCAAAGAGTTGTGGGACTACGTGGCACCTGAACTTGTTGTTGATGCTACCAGGGGTGCGCATCCGAATCTCATGTATGCCGCGCAGAAACTGAGAGATTTGGCAATTTCCTTCGGTGCTACCAACAAACTCATGGTCATGGTGCTTGGCGTGAGTGAGCTGCAAAAGCGAAACAAGAAGTTCTCTCGCCCTAGCATGAACCTAGAACGCTCTGCGTTCCCCGATGATCAGATTGTTCAGACGACGAAGCTCCGCAAGAGACCCAAGGGTGATGTTCCGGGTGACTCTCGTCTAGCTCGTTTTGATCGCGTCGACGCTCCAATCGGTGAGCTTGCTATTATGTTCACTGATATCAAGAAGTCCACTGGTCTGTGGGAAACTTGCCCCGATGCGATGCGCTCAGCTATTCAGATTCACAATGACATCCTTCGACGTCAACTCGGAATTATTGGTGGGTATGAGGTCAAGACTGAAGGTGACGCTTTCATGGTGGCCTTCAACTCTACAACTGCGGCACTGCTCTGGTGCTTCAACTGCCAGAACCAGCTACTTGAGGCTGAATGGCCCACGGAGATTCTCGAGCAACCACAATGTCGCATCGTTTATGACATGGAGAACAATATCATCTTCCGCGGTCTGTCTGTTCGCATGGGTGGACACTGGGGTGAACCTGTCTGCGAAAATGACCCAGTGACCAATCGTATGGATTACTTTGGTCCGATGGTCAACCGAGCATCTCGTATCTCTGCTGTTGCCGATGGAGGACAGATCTTCGTCTCATCCGACTTCATGAGCGACATCCAGCGCAATCTCGAAGTCTTTGCCGATGCTGAGCGATCTGCGTCGACCAGCTCCACAGAAAGCCACCCGCGCATGGATAGCCTGGGTCATACCATCAGACGTGAATTGCAACAGCTCAACAGCCAAGGCTTCGTGATCAAAGATCAAGGCGAACGCAAACTCAAGGGACTCGAGAACCCCGAGCCATTATACCTTGTCTACCCGCACTCACTGGCAGGTCGGATGACAGCGTCCGAGGAAGCGCGAGACCCCGAAAACAACCCAGCCATCATCTCACCAGGCTCCGAACTCGATCTCAAGACCGACTTGATCTGGCGCCTATGGGAAGTAACCCTCCGCCTGGAACGACTCTGCGGTGCACTGGAGAACCCAAGCGAACCACGACTCCGAGAGCCAAACGTCGCTCTATTCCACATGGTCAAGAACCACGGAGGTGAATTGAACGATTCCACCGTTGTCAGCCTCGTCGACCAACAAGTCACCCGCATCGAAGCAACAATCAACACCCTTTCCGTGCGCCACATGATGCGCCCCTTCCGAGCCGGCGATCGTCTCGAAGACCACGCCGTGCCAATCGGCGAGGTCATGCAACAACTTTCGACCCAACTCGCTGAATACCGCGCTCTCAAGGAACAAATGGCTACCGGGGTTGCTGGCATCCCCGGCGGAACGGCCCCTCCGTATGGCGGTGTCGCCATCCATCCCTCTGCAAGCATGGAAAGTACTACAACATCCGCCTCCTCTTCCTTCCTACACCTCCCCAACACACTCGACACTCGCTCCTTCGATTCTCAACGCAGCAGTCGATGATCAAACAAGCCCAGCCCAGCCAAGCTCGGCCAAGTTTGATGATCCTTACACATGCATGCCCATGAGATCGAAAACAATATCCCCTTCCCCTTTTTTTTCGCTTTGGATTCCTCGGGCCTTCTCTTATTTTGTGATGGGCGGCGTCTCATTGGCGGGGAGTCTTGATAAATTTTTTTTTTTTATTTTACTTCTGATTTGATTTGATTTTATTTACACACAAGCATTAAGGCATGGAGCCCACGGTTGAATCTTTTCTTCTTTCTTGTCCTTTGTCTATTACACTTGCTTCGTGTATCTTGATGGCTTTCGGCCTCCCTTGAGCGTGTAATGGCTCTGAAATTTAAACATATTCCTAGCTTTTCTGTTTCTCGTAAGTTTTTGATGCAGGTAGGTTGCTTGTATACTAGTAATTGGATGTAAATGTTAGCGCTAGGTGCGATCCTTTGGTGATATGGTTGGACTTGAAGCTAAGGCTTTTTTTCCTGTTGAATCGCTATCTTTTTGTCTGTAGATGCTACTATACCTAGGTAGCATACCATTTTCTATACTACTTCAAGTCTGGGCACATGTCTATACACAATGTGCAAATGTACACAAGGCGTTTGCTCATCCAGTCACGTGGTCTGCGGTGCTTTGTTTTCCTTTGCGTCATGGCGCGGCAACTCGTGCTGTTCATTTTTCTTCTTACTTTCTTGCCTACTTCAATAAATAAGCGTTCATCATCAGCTTTGATATTTACACACCTGGTATTCCATCCCGTCTAGGCAACCTACTAAGGCCCATCGTCACAGCTTTCCCTCGGCCCCGCCTGTTGCCCTGACTACGAGTCCGACCAACCGGCTCGGCTTGAATTGACAAGTGGACAAACAACCCACATTATTTTCCCAAGAAACCCCTTCAGGCCAAGTCCTCAATCAAGGAGCGATCGGTGGTCCCCCTCTGCGCGTCTTTAAACCGAACTGAACGTCATCTGCGCCACTACACCATCCTTGTCGACACCTGGTGACACGCAGCCGAAGAGTCTCTGTTGGCGGCTTGTGCATCGCCCTTATCACCACCAACCCCTCGCGCACCCCAAGCCACACGCCATGGAGGACGAACTGGACTTTTGCCAGTCGGGCTTCGACCTGAACTCCCTCACAGTCCCCCGTCTCCGCTCTATCCTCGTTAACCACGATATTCCCTACCCTGCCTCAGCGAAAAAAGCTCAACTGATCCGCATTCTGGAAGATGAGGTCCTCCCGCAAGCAAGAAAGCTCCTGCGAGATCGCGAACGTGTGAGGAGAACAAGCGCAGGCATCACCGATATGAGCAGTCGCTCCACTTCCGTCGCCAGTGATGATGAGGAAGAACGCGATTCCATGCCTCCACCGCGGACGCCATCGACGGTAGCATCGACAACCCGACGCGGCGGCACACGACGAAGTACTCGCGCATCGACCGCGGATACTGACGAAAATCTGGCACCGGCTACACCTGCAACTGCTACGAAGCGACGAAGCGCCGTTCCGCGCTCAGTGGGTAAGCACCCACGTGCCTCCGACACGGAAACCGGCGACGACACTCTGGCAACTCCCGTTGTGGCTGTTAATCCTTCCCCGCGCAAGTCTACAGCAAGGAAGATACGGCGTAGTGAGGCACCGGTACTTCCTTCCACAGAGATCGATGAAACTACACCTGTGAAGGCGGAGCCCCGGGAAGAAAATCCCTTCACGGACGACAATCCCTTCCAAAGCGGAAGTCCCTCTGATAGCCTGCGGGACAGGACTTCGAGTTATGATGGGAAGCGAAAGAGTGGCGGGCGATTGTCTACGGATAGTCCGGCGAAGAGCGGCTTGCGGTCTAGGAAGTCGGCTACTCCCACCAATTTCAAGCAGGAAAATGGAATCAAGGCCCCCACGAGAGCTTCATTCGACTTTGCCTCTCGCTTGCAGCCTCCCCAGGAAGAACCCGAGGAATCTGAAGAAGAGGAGGAAGAGGAATATGAGGAGAACGAAGTTGGTATCAGTGAAGAGTTCACTCCAGAAGAACAGCTTGCCATGGAGACGGAGCAATACGCGCCACTCACACAAGTCCGTAAGCGCAAGCAGAAGCAGGGCTCCACCAGCATCATCGCCTCGTGGCTCGTGATTCTTAGTATTCTTGGAAGCTTCGGTGCTTGGTGGCGCAAAGAGAAGATTGAGATTGGTTTCTGCGGTCTTGGAAAACCCACCTGGTCCCTAGCAGAGACCAATGTCCCAGAATGGGCCAATGTTTTGGAGCCACATTGCGAACCATGCCCGCCTCATGCCTTCTGTTACCCGGAATTTGAGGCTCGTTGCGAGCACGATTTCCTTCTTAAGCCACACCCTCTCTCGTTGGGAGGAATCATTCCACTTCCCCCAACCTGTGAAGCCGATAGCGAGAAGGCACGCCGTGTCAAAGCTGTCGCCGACAAGGCTGTGGAAGAGCTTCGTGATAGACGGGCTAAGTGGGAATGTGGTCAACTCCAGGAAGATGGAAAGGACGCGTCTCCTGAAATTCCCGAACCCAAGCTCAAGGAGGAAGTTGCGAAGATGCGCCGCAAGGGCCTCAGTGACACCGAATTCGATGACCTCTGGAAAGGAGCTATTGGTGAAATTCTTGATAAGGACGAAGTTATCAGTAAAACTGAGCTGTAAGTTAACCCCCTCGCCGAGATATCTCTTATGTCTGCCTCGCCACGCTTTTCGTTCCGGGCTTCATACCTCCATCGGCTATTTCTTATGAAGATCTTGGTTCTGACATGGTGTCACCGGAACTAACAGAGACGCCTTCGCAATTACAGACATTCCGCCGTCCTCGTCCTCACATCAACATCCATTGCCCGACTCCCACTCACTTGCGCCGCCCGCCGTTACGTCCGACTCGCTCTCCTCGCGTATCGACTCCCTCTTTCACTTCTAGTTGTGGGCCTCGTGGGTCTAGCTTATGCTCGTGCTCTGGTTCTTGCCCGCCGCAAAGACATCGCTCGTGTACCCGAGTTAGTGGCCACAAGCCTTGACCGACTCGCAACGCAAGCTGCACTCCACGCACGCGGGGGGAGCAATGGAGCCTTACATCCCCATCGGTCAGATGCGGGACGATGTTCTCCGTTCTGAGTTACACGGAAAACGGCGTGAAGAACTATGGCGCCGCGTGCAGCGCATTGTGGAGGGCAACGCTAACGTCCGAGCCGCCGTACGCGAAAGCCGTAGCGGTGATGTTGCGCGGTCTTGGGAGTGGATTGGCGGTATAGGAGGTGTTGGGGCGTCCGGCGACGAGCTCGAAGGTAGCGCCCGTCGTAACAGTGCCCGGTTTTCCTTGTCTTCTCCCTCCAGTAACGTCGATGCGGGCCATCACACGCCTTCCGACGCCAAGGAAGAATCTGCAGCAAGCCCTAGACAATCACGCCGTTGGAACGAAGGCCGTGCAATCTACTAATTTGCGGGGTCTACTCGGTTGCTAATCCAATTGTGATGACTTGGGCATCTTTGCATTCTGATATGCAGCCTTTACGTTTTGATATCCTCCTGTTTCATGTATGAGATATGGTCCTTCCCTTCCCTTTTTTCCATGTTCACTTGGACTCCTTTCCCTTCTTTTCTTGTCTTCTTATCACGTACATATGTCTTTCTCTGTCCATCCTAGCTCTCATTCCAGATGTTTAATACCCTTGAGGACCAGTCTGGTCGAATTTCAAATTTTTATCTCATAACCCTTCATAGAACCATTCCCATACTCAGACTAGAAAAGGTCGATCAACACCTTATCAGCCCGTGTCAAATTCTTTTACGCAGCGATCGTCGATGCCGATCCCCATCTTGGTCCCCAAACCTAGGTTCAAATTTGTACCGATCGACCGGTGCTCGACACATTGATACCTACTCGTAGTAGGCGGTATGGGTGGATGGGTGGTCCCCGATGATCGTTTCACCACCACCACCACTAGTGCATCCATAATTTTTGCTACCAGTTTGCCACGCCACATTTTGGGCTTGAAATATAAAATTGTATTCAGTATTCACAACTAGTACATACGCCCCGCTACGCCCCAGTGTCCGTGTTATCGTAAACAAAGAGAAATGAGGGGGTTTCTACTCCGTACAAGCCGAACCTATCCCCAAGTTAAACTCGTACAAAGGTGCTGCATGAATCGGTCACGTTCTATAGCCGATACCCCCTGTATCGAACAGTCCAGAACATCACCTCGGCAGGCCCGACGACGTGAAAAGGAAGGCCAGGCTCCTTTTGTTGTGGGGGTTACTCGTAGCTGTACTAGCCATGCGTGCCTGACTGGGTCGGACTAGGCCCCCGGCACAAACCGAAAATGAGAGAGGAGTCACATACGTGCCAAGCTAAACATTAGTATAGTACCCCCAATTTTCTTTTATTAAAATTGCACCTTTTGCCCTATAATGGTTTGAGGGGTCTGACGCCGACTGAGAACTGCGTGTGTTCAGATCCTCCTTTTCCTTCCTGTAACGCCACATTGCGTGGCATTGGAAGATTTACTTTTGACAGGTTGCATGGGGGTGGGTAGATCAACAGTAAGACGAAGCGTCCACTGACGTAGGTTGGGTATTCGAGGATTCAAACTCCATATCTTTCCGAATTTCTGACTAGAGAATACTCGTAGCCCGCTTCTAACCATATATGCATTGATATCACGCTCTGTATGCATCATTCAAGGATGTATGTGGGCGTCTTGCAGGCGCGCGATACTTGAATCGATGCATCTTCACGAGATGATGAGCATGGCATCCAATGGTGGCCTGAAGTAGACGAGAAACTTCGGTATTTGGATGCATTTCCGATGTATAGTTTGTGGAACTATTCAGCCTCGCGCCGGAGAAGATGCCGGTGTTGGCGGCAGAGGCTTCCATTTTTCCCCTTTTTTTTTCTTTTTTTCTTAAGTCCTGGCAGTGGAAATAATATCCGTTAGCAGGCCGATGATCCAACTCCTACGGCCTACTACATCACAGTAGACCGCAAATTGGTTTGGCCGCTCATTTCCTTGCTTTTATGTAGTACCTACTGAATCCATGTCTCCGAGTCCTCCTTCTCTGGCTATTTGGACAAATAGTAGTGCAGGGTATTCCATCATGACCCAGCCCTAATACAACGAAGTGGATAAGGAGGGGCAAGCCGGTGGGAGAAGAACATGCCCCGCTCCTTTTGCCCTACTCGTACATTAGTAGGATTTCAAATCCCCTCCTGTCGGGGTAGGCTCTGTCCGTCTCAGATGCTAGAACTTTCTTTCTCGCTTCGACGATTTGCGGCTGGTTAGTTGCATTGGCTTCGGGCGAGATCAGCATAGACACGTGTACCGGCAGAGATCCATACACCGATACCTTGGGGAATTCCATTCTAACATTGCTGGAATTATGCAGTATATAACTAGTCAGTAATGATGGTAAGTTAGCAGGCGCAGGAGCGTGGTACTGAGAAGCCTTATACTTCCAAGGTTCTTGGTAGCTCGCGGACTGACAGAAAGACCAGGATCTAGGAATGATCAGGAACCACTCTAGAATCCAATTGTCTCGTATAATAAGAAGATCCAAGCCACTAAGACCGGGCGTAGGTCTCCATTTGGGGGCTATTTGTGCGCTGATCGTTCTGCCACGGTCCTGGGGGTCTCCGTCGCCGGCGTTGCAGACACAATTAGGCCGATTGGAGTCTAGTGTAACTTCACAACACGGTAAAGCTTCATAACCCGGTAGTTGGGCCGGATTGCATTTAACCTAGAATAGTAAACGCAGGCCAGGGAATGTGGGCATCGGCTGAAGAATTGGAAGGGCTTCTCGACAAGCCCGGCTCGGTTGGGCAAATAACGGTCGACTGGAAGTAATATCCAGCAATCAATCGTGTCAGGAAAGGGGTACCACAATCCACTCCCGGACGCCAAGGGGGGGTCCGTCCCAGTCTTCAGTTTTGCTGGGACCAGCGGTTTGTGCGAAGATTAAACCACTTGGTTCGATGATGGAAAATGAAGCCATAGTACCTTCCCAGGTTACTGGACCATACTATCTGGTCAAGCAAAGAAGCCAACGGAAATATTAGCATGGCGTCACTAAAAGACTTACGCCACGACCCACTAAGTCGTTCAGATTGTTGCAATTCATTTTACTATTTCTCCCATTTGAGAAATGCCAGAGTGCCGCCAGAGTGCCGCCAGGTTGTTGTGTATTGGTTGGACCGACAAGATTTCGTACAATAACATGGCTCTTAGTAAAAAACCGGATCAGATCTCGATCAAATACTCATCATCGTAGTATCAAAATAATGGATGTAGATCGAGTACTTCGCAGTGTTGCATCGATCAGCAGGTAAATTGATAAAATGATTGAATGGCTGAAGCGATTGAGATTAAAACACTCCAGTGTATGTATGCTGAAGAATTGGCAGTTTGTCTCCATTAGCGTGGATCGTATAGACCCCAGGGCTCTATATTCTTTTTCCAGGAAAAGATTCGGAAGATGCGAAGCGAAGTATCTCGTAGTTGATATCGCGGTCCTTTGCGGAGCATCTTGCCCTCATAAAAACATCAAGTCTTGACGATGATTATGGCCTCGAGTCGGTGTTCCAGTGTTGGGTCTGCAGCGCCATCCACATCCATTCGGGAGAGTATTGCGCGAGTGGTGGCGAATCCCATGCCGCTATCTCCCGCCATTCGCCCCTCAGCACGGGAAAAGTTTCCCGGGCGAGTTTGTACGGTCATCTTTACCACAGGATTCGGAATATTATTCTCAATGGAATTCCAATAGAAGCCGCAAAGACGTGGTCTAACAGAAAGGTATCCACGGCACCTGGTCACTCTTGTCAGTCATCGCGGTCCAGCAGTCTTCGCAGTGACAGTACAGCCACAGTGGAGTCAGTCGCATGCTTCAGTTAGTGGGGATCGCTGGTCTGCAGTCTGACTTGCAAGCCTCAGTGGCAAATATCCCAAAGAAACTATGTACGGATAGAAGGGGACGCATTCCGCTGAGTTCCCCAAGGCCTCCACGCATGGAACGCAGATGATATTCTTCACAAATCGACGTCGTCTAACCTCTTCTGGGGACGCTATGGGCTCCTCTGTGAAAATTTGGTTGTATAGGGGTGATGTACTAATCTTACCAAGTAAGTAGGCACGCGGTGTCGGTATATGTGTGATTTGGAGCGTAATTGCATAAGCAGCAGATGACCCTCGCCACATGTTCTACACCCAAGGTTATAGACTGATTCAAGATAGGGTATTGCGGATAGCCCTAACTACAATAGCTGGCCAAAGCCCTAGACAGGGGGAACCTTGGGACCACTCTTAACAAGTATCAGAAAGATGGGCCAATAATCAGACGAAAAACAGCTCCCTTTCAACAGATCGTCGGTAGCCAGTTGAGCGTGACATTCAAATGACGGAGCTTCAACTGATATGATTGGATCAATTCTGACGGAGCAGTATTCCGGGGCCAATCCACTCTCCGCATCGGAAACTTACCCACTACTCGTATTTCCTGAACAAAAGGCAAGGAGCTGGTCCTTGTCGAACTGCACGCGAGATCCAAGAGGTTAGGAACATCCTGGAGGTGCATGGTTTTGATACAGAAGTGCTGAAGTCGGGGTACATCCGAGCCAACAGATAAAGAGAGCCTAGGACGAACCGATCTCGCAAAAACAAACCTATCAACATGGAGCCCCTTCTCGTCGGCGCCGAGGCCTAAGACTAACACAAGCCGTGGGAGATGTTCACCTAAAGCAGTATAGAACGCATACATCGCGGCGGGAAGAGTCACTAGTTACTGCGACTCCATTTCAGTTCAGACAGATTATTCTCAGTAAATGGGGGATCTTTGGGGCAAGAATGGAATAATGTACTCGCCCTGCTCAACACGAAATAATCACACACAGATGCGCACTGCTGTATCTCTCAAATCAAAAGGGGCCAATGTCCGATGGCCAGATCGGTTCCTGACGTTCGGGCTTGACGAATTAAATAATCCAATCCTCATAAATCGTAGCAATTATTCAAATTGAATTTTCTGGTCCTCTGGGTGGCCCACCCCCCCCTCATCCTTGCCTAGGGAATGTCAGACTTTCAGTTCCACCTTTCCGCCACACACGTCTTGATATCTTCGTGTCCCCATTCTCCGTCCCTCCACCTACCCTTTTTGCCCTGCTCAACGGGGCAGTGCGTCACGGCGTCTGGTCCTGCAGAAATACTGCACGGGGAGACAACAAAGAAGAGGGGCCAACTAGTGAGCATCGCTTTGATCCCACCCCGACTCCCCCGTCCTAAATTTCACGCTTGAGCCCGTTGTTGATATGATTCGAGTGGGATGGACTATGTTTGCGATCGTGGCTTGTCCCTCTTGAGTCGTCTGTTAGTCAACACCGTGAGCCTCTTTCCGTCTTTTTTCGCCTCTTCGTCCTCACCTTTCTTCCTCCTACCACCCACCTCCACC